CTGATCAATGACTCTCATCATTGATGTTTCTCTCTCTCTCTCCCCCTCTCCTTTCCTCTCTCTGAAATCAATAAAAACATATTTTTTTAAAAAATATCCTGGATAGATGCAGTATAGGTGCAGTATACTTCTATGATACTGAGGATATTTATAGTTATACTGAAGTCATGTTCTGATTGTTCTTTTTGCAGTATATGTGTATATCTCTTTCCTCAGGTATAAATTGTTTCTGTTTAATAAACATAGTGCCTTAATTCAAAGTGTTGGCTTTCCCCAAATATTTGGTGATACTTTCATGGGTGCTTCTTTTTGTTTTTGAAACCTCCTGCTAGTGTGTGATTGCTGTCGCCTTTTGCAGGGAATAGGCCAACTATGCTACCAAGCAAGGTATCTTAGCAGCTCAGGCTTAAATTAAGATTTCCATGCAAGTGATTAATTAAAGGAGCTCTCACTAGAAATCTCTGAGTGAAGGAAGCCAGACAGGAATGTGGGAAAATTCAGTGGTTCCCAAATTTGTTATACCTTAAAATCACCTGAGGAGCTTTTGAAAATCCCAACAATCAGAGAAGTAATGTCAGAAAGATGGCAGAATCTGCAGCCTCGGGCTCTTCTTCCCCCATGGAGATACTCACTTGGCAATACAGGGATCATATTACCTTTGTGAACATTTCAGAAGCCACTTAAGAGGTCACAGCATCCCAGTCTAGCACAAGGCCAAGAAGAGGCACATTGGAGTAATTAGGGCATCCATTGCACTTGCCCCTTACCCCGTCTGCCTGAACAACAAGGGGCAATCAAGAGAAAACTCCTAATTTGTGACTTCTCTCTCAGGAGGGAAAGAAAGACATAGAACATGTGTCCTATATTCTGGCTTTTTGAGGGGTTGCCCAAGGGCCTGATTTCTGTCTCTTCTTACTTGGATCTCTGACAGAAAAAAGACTGGCAAATTTTAGCCCTGGTCGGTGTAACTCAGTAGTTAGAGCATCAGGTTTGATTCCCGGTCAAGAGCATGTACCTGGGTTGCAGGTTCGATCCTCACCTTGGTCAGGATATGGGGGGAAGGAACCAATCAATGCGTCTCTCTCTCATCGATGTGTCTCTCTCTCTCCCCTTCTCCCTCATTCCACCTCCCTCCCTCTCTTTCACTCTCTCTAAAAATCAATGGAAAAAATATCCTTGGGTGAGAATTAACAACAACAAGAAGAGACTGGCAAATTTAGATGCCTGAAGTCCACTTAGATGCCTGAAGTCCTATGGGTTGCTACAACTCTAAAGATATTTCAGTACTTCACATAGACCCCTGGGGATGCTCCAGAGTAGAAAAAGGCAAAACTTTTCAGCTGGAGATAATGTACCCAAGTCCAGAGAAGACATATCCCAGAAAAACTTGAGAGGCGCCTAGAATCTGTAGCTGGGCTGATTGGTGAGGACCCCTCCCTAGTGAAGGCAGTCCATAAAGACTGGGAGAGGTGGCTGCTTTTTTCAAATATGCAAATATCCACAAAAGGTAACAAAGCATATCAAATGAACAACTAAAACTCCAAAAACCAATCCTAAACAAATGGAAATGTATGAATTACTTAACAAATAATTCAAAGTAACATCTTTAAAATGCTTAATGAGCTAAAAGAGAACACAGACATCTAAAAATATCAAGAAGAGTAAAGATAGTCTCTTCAATGGTTTTAGGATGATTGGACAGGTACATGCAAAAAAAAACTAGAACACCAACTTACACTATACACAATAATAAACTCAAAATGGATAAAAGACTTAAGTGTAAGTTGTGAAAACATAAAAATCCTAGAAGAAAACATAGGCAGCAAAATCTCAGACATCTCTCGTAGCGATATGCTTGCTGATACATCTCCTAGGGCAAGGGAAACAAAGGAAAATATAAACAAATGGGACTACATCAAACTAAAGAGCTCCTGCACACGTCCAGCCAGCATGACTCAGTGGATGAGATCAAGGTTCGATTCCTAGTCAAAGCTCATGCCTGGGTTTCGGGCTTGATCCCCAGCAAGGGGGAGGGGGGGGATGCAGGAGGCAGCTGATCAATAACCCTCTCTCATTGATATTTCTATCTCTCCTCCCTTCCTCTCTCTGAAATAAATTTTTTTTAATAAAAAAATATAATAAGCTCCTGTACAGCAAAAGAAGCCATTAACAAAATGAAAAGGGAGGCCACTGTATGGGAGGACATATTTTCCAATGATAGTTAATTTCCAAAATATATAAAGAACTCATAAAACTTAACAAAAGAAAGACAAACAATCCAATTAAAAAATGCTTTAGACACTTCTCCAAAGAGGACATACAGATGGCCAAGAGACATCTGAAAAAGTCACTAATCATCAGAGAGATGCAAATTAAAACTACAATGAGGTATCACTTCACACCTGCCAGATGGTTAGCATTCAACAAATCAACAAATAACAAGTGCTGGCGGGGGTATGGAGAAAAGGGAACTCTAGTATGCTGCTGATGGGAATGCAGACTGGTACAGCCACTATGGAAAACAGTGTGGAGTTTCCTCAAAAAATTAAAAATGGAACTTCTACCCAGTGATCCCACTTCTAGGAATATATCCTAAGAATCCCAAAACACCAATCAGAAAGAGTATCTGCACCCCTATGTTCATAGCAGTGCTATTTACAATAGCTATGATCTGGAAACAGCCCAAGTGCCCATCAGTAGATGAGTGGATAAAAAAGCTGTGGTACATTTACACAATGGAATACTATGCAGCTGTCAAAAAGAAGGATCCCTTTGAGACAGCATGGAGGGACCTGGAGATTATTACTCTAAGCAAAATAAGCCAGTCAGAGAAAGACAAGTATCACATGATCTCACTTATATATAGAATCTAATGAACAAAATAAACTGAATAGCAAAGTAGATCCAGAGACATGGAAGCACAGAACAGACTGACAAATCTCTGAGGGAAGGGGGGGAGGGAGGGAGAGAAGGTATTGGTTAATGCATATAAGCATAAACCATGGACACAGACAATAGTGTGATGAAGACCTGGGGGGAGGGTGCTGCATGGATGGGGTCAATGGGGGAATAAAAGGGGACATCTGTAATACTTTCAAAAATAAGGATAAATTTTTAAAATATTAAAACATAAAAATATCAGGAAAATGATGCATGAACCAAATGAGATTACTAAGAAAGAAATAGAAACTTAAAAAAGAACAAAAATAAATTCTTAAGCTGTAGTATACAATAACAGAATTGAGGGGAAATGACTACAGGAGTTCAATAACAGACTGGATCAATCTGAAGAATTAGTGAACTTGATGACAAAATCACTTGAAATCAAGTCAGAGGAGCAAAAAGAAAAACAAAGTGAAGAGATCCTAAGGGACCTATAGGATACCCTTAAATAGACCAATCTACATATTATGGGAGTTCTAGGAGTAAGAGAGATAAGTGGTCATAAAGCCTATTTGAAGAAATAATGGCTAAAAACTTCCAAATTGAGAAATGAAATGGTCATACAAATTTAAGAAGCTCAGAGCACTTCCACTTGAGTAAAACCAAAGAGACCTACACTGAGACACACTATATTCAAACTGTCAAAAGTCACAGAAAGAGTCTTGAAAGCAGCAGGTGAAAAGCAAGAGTTCCCATAAGTAATAATTGGGTTTCTCAGCAGAAACCTTATAGTCCAGAAGGGACTGGAGTTATTCAAAATGCTGAAAGAAAAAAACTGCCAACCAAGAATACTATATTCGGCAAACCTCATGTAAAAGCTCCATGACATTGAATTTGGCAATGATTTCTTGGATATGACACTAAAAGCACAGGCAACAAAAGCAAAAATAGATAGACTGGGCTTAATAAAACTTGAAAACTTCTGCACAGCAAATGAAACACAGACAAAAGGCAACACACAAAATGGAGGAAAATTGCATATATCTGAAAAGAGATCAATATTCAGAATATATAAAGAATTCCTACTGCCTGGCCGGGCGTGGCTCAGCGGTTGAGCGTCAACCTTGGATCCAGGTGATCGGGGTTCGATTCCTGGTCGGGGCACATGCCCGGGCTGTGGCCTCAGTCCCCAGCAAGGGGGGCGTGCAGGAGGCAGCCGATCAATGACTCATCATTGATGTTTCTATCTCTCTCTCCCTCTCCTTATCTCTCTCTCTGAAATCAATAAAGACATATTTAAAAAAAAAAAATTCCTACCACTCAACAACAAAAACCTTCCTAAAAAATGGTAAATGATTTGAATAAACATTTCCTCAAAGAAGATATGCCAACAAGCTTATAAAATTGTTCAACATTTGTAATCATTAGAGAAATGTAAATTAAAACCACAATGAGATATCACCTCACACCCATTAGGGTGGTCACTGTTTAAAAGAAAATAACAGTTGTTGACACACATGTGGAGAAATTGGAACGGCTGTGCACTACTATTGGGAATAAAATTTGGAAACTAGTTTAGAGGTTCCTCTAAAAAACAAAAATAGAATTATGATAAAACAAGCCATCCTACTTCTAGGTATATATCCAAGAGAATGGAAAGCAGGATTTCAAAGAGATATTGCAGGATTATTCACAATGGCTAAAAGGTTGAAGCAGCCCAAATACCCATTGACAGATGAATGGATAAAGAAAATGTGATATATACATACAATGGGATATTGTTCAGCTGTAAAAAAGAAGGAAATCTTATCGCATTCTACAACGTGATGAACCTTGATAACATTATGCTTAGTGAAATAAGCCAGAGCAAATACTATATGATTTTAGTGATTTATCTAGAGTATTTAAAATCATGATAACAGAAAGTAGCATGGTAGTTGCCAGAGGATGGGTGAGGGGGAAATTCTACCACCATTAAATGACATTCACTCAAAAGCAGAACTTTTACACTTGAAGTGGTTGTAAAGATTAATATATTTGTTGTAAATTTTAATTTAAAATTTAACTATTTGGTTAAATGGATGTTTTATAATTGGTTTTCAAAGTCTTTCTCTCAGTTTTGTAGTAGGTGCTGTCTCTCCTGCTGTTGTTGTCCCTTCCATGCTACTTTTGCAAGACAAAGGATATGGTATTGAGAAAGGCATTCCAACCTTACTAGTAGCTGCAAGCAGTTTTGATGACATCCTGGCTATCACTGGATTCAGTACATGCATGGGCATAGTCTTCTCCACAGGTAAACAAGAAAATGCAACCACTGCCATAAAATTTATAGCTTTTTTGTCGTTATTGTTGTTAGTTCTTTAAATGTTTCTAGTTTTCATTTATTAACCAAGAGTTTTTACATTTAACATCTTTTTATTCTTCATAGGAAGCTCATTCTAGACCAGGGAGGACATTTCAATGGGTTAAGAAACCACTACTTAACACAAATGATTTCATTTTAATAACCATATATTTCAATTAATTTGATAACCATTTTATTACCATTTATCTGCTCATGTTTCTTTGGAATTTTATCACAGTTTTCAATAGAAAATTTTAAGCAGCAATTTTATTAGTACTACTAATATATTTAATAGATATTTTTGCAATGTACCTTTTGGCCATCATTATGAATAAATGGTTGCTCTATTATTAAGACAACTTAAATAATAGAGTGAGGACAACTGTGTGCCTTTTGGTAGTGGTGAGACAAGATCCTGCACCAATTTTGAATCCCAAGGTGATATTTGGTCTTGAACGTCACTCTACAGAAATTGTGAAAGTAAAAATTTCCACATTTAGTAATGCTTTAGTTACCTGCGATATTTGAAATTTAGTTTTCTGTATTAATGAAGTACCAAAATACTTTTCAGTTGAAAATTATTAAAGTTTCTCTCGAAATCATAAGATATAAATTTTAAAAAGAAAAAAGGGAAAAGATAAAAATAAAATATGCAATAGTCATATCTCAGGAATAATAATTCTGAATCTTTGAAGTAAGTCCACCCAGACTCTATCTACCTATCATCTATTTATCTATCTATCTATCTATCTATCTATCTATCTATCTATCTATCTATCTATCTATCTATCATCTATCATCTATCTATCTATCATCATCTATCTATCATCTATCTATCTATCTATCTATCTATCTATCTATCTATCTATCTATCTATCTATCATCTATCTAATCTATCATCTGTCTCTCTATCTCTCTCTCACTTTTTTTTCTCTCCACTCCCAATATTCTTATAAAATTATTGAACGTTGACCATACTTAACTTATAACCTGAGTTGTTTTGCATTTAACTGTATATTGTATACATGTTTCTCTTCAGTAAATATATTTGTATGACATTTTAATTGTTGCATAGTATTCAGTTGGCTGCATCATAATTATTTGTTGAAAACTGAAGTTAACTCCTGTATTTGCTATTAAAATAATACTAGTTGAACATCTTATAGCTAAATAGTTGTACCTAAACTTAATATTTTCTTAATGTTAAAAGTGTAACTGTTGAGCTAAAAAGCATATGGAGTTATAAGATTTTGAAGGATATTGCCACAATATCATGTCCTATCATGATGCACAGCTTGCCAATTTCTCTTCACCCTTTTGTCAAAACTAGGTATTATTCATCTTTTTTACCTTTGCTAATTTGGTAGGTGAAAAGTGAGGCCTCTTTAAATGAAACACTTTTACTACTAGTGATGTTGAACAAATATTCGTGTTTATTGGTCATTGGCATTTTGTTATATTTTATATATTGCTTTTCTTACAGGTGTGTTCATTTTTTGTTCTTTTTGATTTGTCGAGATTCTTCACAAAATTAAGAATGATAACCCTTTGTTTTATATTCTATATCTTTAGTTTCCCCCATTTTTAATTTGACTTTTAATTTTATAAGAGTTCTTTTTTACCATTCTGAAGTTCTAAAATGTTTATTGACAAATCCGGTAATCTTTTCCGTCATTACTGATATCAGTTATTCTTTCAAGAACTATTTCTGTGCTCCTCTTCCATTTTGCCGGCTACTGTGCCAAACACTGAGGATAGGTAGTAAACAACATTATTGAGTAATTGTTTAGTACTTGTTCTGAGTTCCACAGATGCTTCCACTCATGTAATAGTCACAATAGGCTATGCTCATTTTACAGACAAGGAAACTGAGGAACAGAGGTTAAATAACTTGCTCAAAGTCACAAATCCAATCAGTAGTGGAGCCAAGATACACATCTGGTGATCTCACCCCAGACCCACACTTTTAAGTACTATTCTATACATATATGGTTGCATAAAATATATTGAAAACTCAACTGACCCTTGAATAGTCCTAGGACTGACCCTGGAATAAATCTTTTCTTTACATTGTTATTCTTAAATTGTTCTTTTTATATTTAAGTCATTTTTTCTTTGTCATAATAATACATCAGAGAAGAAACATTACCAACCTTGTGCTAGGTGCCAGAGGTGGTGCTTGGTCAGTCTCTGTTCATTCTTCTACCTTGCCTGATTTTTTAGGCAGGGTGTGTAAGGAGAGCACATTGTAACTTATTACTTCTTAGTCTTCTGGCCTATTTATTCAATAAACATTTCTGAATTGAGTGTTTGTACTAAATTATTTAGGAGTACACATTTAATGTATCAAATAGATCTGCATATGTTTTAGTATTTGTTAATATTAAAGGTTCATTTTTGTATATTCTATAAAAGACATACCTTTCTTCAAGAATCACCTAGGTTTGATTTTCTGATGTGTTGGGTATGTAAAAAGATCTCTCTATGATATATTTTCCTATGTGTGCCCTTACAGGTACTATACTTCATAATCTCCTAATCTCTTTTCGGAACATAATTATTGGTATACTGCTAGGAGTGGTTTTGGGAATTTTTGTTCGATATTTTCCAAGTGAAGATCAGGTAAATAAAAAATTAGTCAACTTTTAGAAGTATAGGATTAGCTATTTTTTTCAAAATTTGAACTTTTAGAATATCCATGAAATATTAAATTTAATATTTATTGTCCTTTCCCAAAGGTAGCCTCCAATGCCTACTTTGCTTAGAACTGAGCACAGTTGTAATTGATACAAGTCAATGGCCTTGACTGAAGTCTTTGCTTCTGGACTTGGCAAAAAAGGAATATTAGAAAAAAACTTTTTTTGGTGGAGTGCTGTGTAAATCTTGTATTTATAAATGTAATGAAGGTGTTGACAGAAAAAATATATATACAACTTTTATGTACTTACTGACTGAATACATTTAAAATATATATTTTTTTAACCTGCTCTGCTATGAACAGAGATAACATATCTTTTTAGTATGCTGTTGGTTTTTAAGTTAAGCTTCCTAATGCATAATAAATTTGTAATGGGTACTTTTTATTAAGTGTATTAAAAATGCACTTAAGCCCTGCCTGGCATGGCTCAGCAACCGAGTGTCGACCTAGGATCCAGGTGATCCGGGTTCGATTCCCGGTCAGGGCACATGCCCGGGTTTTGGGCTCGATCAGTGACTCTCTCATCATTGATGTTTCTATCTCTCTCTCTCCCTCATCTTTCCTCTCTCTGAAATCAATAAAGATATATTTTTTAAAAATGCACTTAATTCAGAGCACTGTCTTCATTCCACAGCACCCCTTTCTTCACTAAATTGCCTATTCACTTCTGACAATTTTTTCTAATCTTTTTTACTTCATACTTTCCCTTGAACATTTTAGGGGAGAGAGATTCCCATACACCTCTGCATATTTTCTTTTTTCTTCTTATTTTTTAATCCTCACCTGAGGATATTTTTTCCATTGCTTTTTAGAGAGAGTGGAAAGGAGAGAGAGAGAAAGAGAAATCAATATGAGAGAGACACATCAGTTGGTTGCCTCCCACATGTGCCCCATGGAGATCGAGCCTGCAACTGGACAGAGCATGCCCTTGAACGGAATTGAACCTGGGACCCTCCAGTCCGAGGGCTGATGCTCTAACCACTGAGCCAAACCAGCCAGGGCTGTGTATTTTCTGAGTTAAATTCACTCCCACTCCCTTTGACTAAGGCAACACTATCAAACTCAACCCTTTCCTACCCTAAAGAATGTGCCATTACCCTGGTATTTCTGTAACTTCCATCTTGATTTGCCTGTAACAATTGTAACTAATGAGATACTCAGAAATTTATTTTTAAGGACTCATTGGATATGTTATATAGAACTACAGGTTATTTTGGTCTCTTTTATTTCCTTCTTTACTTACAATTAAAATATTTTAACCATTTTACTGACATTACTAACAGATGTGGCAGAAGATGAAACTTCATAATTATAAATTTTGTCACTCGGTTCCCAGTCTACTAAAATATTTGTTGAGGAAGATAGCCACAATTCTAGGCATTATTTAATGTAACATATAGAGAGATGGTATCAAAAGGTCAATAATAAATGATAGATAATGTAAATGTTGTATTATATAGTTAATGTAAGTAATTTTTTAAATTTTATCTAATTCTAGACAAAACTTCCATTGAAGAGAGCATGCCTTGTTTTGAGTATGTGCATTTCTGCTGTCTTAGGCAGCAATTATATTGGTATACATGGAGCTGGAGGATTATGTACACTAGTGTTGACTGTCACTGGAGGACTGAATTGGACCAAAGATAAGGTGAATATTTTTAATATACCATTTTTTAAAGGTAAAATAACTGAATTTTTTACATTATAATGGACATTTAGGAAACCTCCTCATTCTATTTGGAAGATGTTCCAGAAGTTTGTGTCTTGAGGAAGGATACAAATCAATAAAGGAAATAAAGTATTTAGGAAAAGAACCTGCACATACACTAAAAATCAATCAGGAGTTGAGTTATCACATCAGGCCTATTTTCCCCCAAGTTTTATGCAATATGATTACATAACTTTTACTAATTTAATTATTTTATTAATTAAAATTTTAGTTATACAGTTAATACATGAAAATATGCTCATAAAAAATTAAACAATACACATACAGAATAAATTGTAAAAGACTCCTTTTTCCTACCTCTCCCAAATATCAAACACCCCTTCCCAGAATTAATCATTTCCTCTAATCAGTCCTCTATTTGTAGACATTTAGATCATTTCCATTTTTTTGTTATTACAAACAGTGCTGCCATGTGTCTTTTTGAAAATGTACAAATACTTCTATAGGAATATACTCTTAGAAAAGGAATTACTAAATTTCTATTTTGATGGGTACTGCCAAATTATCTGTTCAAAAAATTTTATTTATTTACACTATTTACTACCAACAGTGTAGGAGAGGCCCTAATACCTCAACCCTTCAACACGCTGGATATTATCACTAGTTCTATTATTTTTAATCTGATGGGTAAAAAACTATATAACATTGTTTATGACATATTACTCAACCATAAAAAAAAAGAACAAAACCTTGCCATTTGCAATAACATGGATGGATGTGGAGAGCACTGTGCTAGGTGAAACAAGTCAGACAGAGAAGGACAAATACTATATTCTTGCATTTATACATGTAATCTAAAAACAAAGCAAAAATAGACTCAGGTATACAGAACTGATGGTTGTCAGAGGGGAGTGGTATGGGGGAATGGATGAAAGGGTGAAGGAAAACAAGAGGTGCAGACTTCCAATTATAAAAAAAGTAAGTCACAGTGATGTAATGCATAGCACAGGGGATAGAGTCAAAAGTATTGTAATCATTTTGTTTATAATGGTTTTGTCTGGAAGTAAAATTTCCTATAGTCAGAACTGTCAGTTTTTCCGTTTTTATTTTGTATTCAGTATCTTACTTAAGAAGGAATTCTTGCTCAGCTGGCGTGGCTCAGTGGTTGAGCGTCAACCTATGAACCAGGAGGTCACGGTTCGATTCCCGGTCAGGGCACAAGCCTGGTTGTGGGCTCCTCCCCAGTGGGAGGGTGTGCAGGAGGCAGCCAATTAATGACTCTCATCATTGATGTTTCTCTCTCCCCCTCTCTCTTCCTCTCTGAAATAAATTAAAAAAACAACAATATAAAAAAGGATTCCTTTACTCAAGATTATAAGATTATAAACATTATAATATCTTCTATATTATGATCTAATAGTTTGGTAGTTTTTGTTTCTTTTATTTTTGCATTTCATTCTTTAATTCATCAGGAATTTATTTTTGTGAATTCTGTGAGATAAGGATGTATGTGTGTGTGTATTTATATATATGTATCCATACACACACACATACATACACACACATATAATAGTTGTATATACATATAAATGTAAATAAATTGGATAGTCAATTTCTGCCAAATTATTGATTAACTAACCATTAATTATTCAGTGACTTTTAAGTGCCTCTTTTAACATGACCTAAATGCTCACATATATCTAAGTTCATTTCTGGAACCTAATCCTTCTTATCTATTCCTATAGATACTCAGCTTTTAAGTCTATTTTAAATCATAAGTCATAGTTTTATGTCTCAAAATCTAATATAGAAGATTTCATCTCATTGTACTTATTGTTGAAGTATTTCTTGTCTGTTCCTGCCCATATTCTTTCTTAGATATATTTTAGAATCAACTTGAGAAATTCCCTACCCAAAAATTATACTGGCATTTTGTGTAGTACTCCAATAAAATCATAATTATAAAAAGTGAAGTTGTTAATAAATTATAATTAGATAAATAAAATGAAAACTACTAGAATTCTCTTTTTACATGATAAAGAAATCAGACAGTAAAAAATAGACTTACAGATTAAAAGTGACAAATAGGATAATGTGCTATAAACAAGGAAGAGTAATATTGTTTTTTCTTTGTTTTCCCCTCTTTTAAACTTCACTCTTATAAATGGCAATCAGAAAACCCAGCCATAAAAGGAATAGTTATAAAGATAGTTTCTGCCCCACAAATAAAATATCTTAATTTTATGTATTAAAATAGACTTTAAACTTCTGAAATGCAGTTATTTTTATCACAATAATTAAAAATGTATTACTCTTTTCTAAAGACTGAGTCCAAAAATTATTGCAATTGCATGGGATATTTTTCAACCCCTTCTTTTTGGTTTGGTTGGATTGGAAGTATCTGTTGCATCTCTTAAAGGAGGTCAAAGTTTTATGTATCTTCTGTTTGAAAAGATAAGCCCAGATTTGGCTGAAGTCTCTTCTTCCAAGTTCCTGGAGAAGATCCAGAGCACAGTTATGTCCAAAGGGTCATTGCTGTAACACATCACTGGGAGGTAGTACGGGGAGAGATTCGTTCCCAGAAAGGGAAGTTGGGCAAGCAACCAAGTAAGAATCAATTATGGCCCGGCCGATGTGGCTCAGTGGTTGAGCATCGACCTATGATCCAGGAGATCGAGGTTCGATTCCTGGTCAGGGCACAGGCCCAGGTAGCGGGTTTGATCCTAAGCAGGGGGTGTGCAGGAGGCAGCTGATCAATGACTCTCATCATTGATGTTTCTCTCTCTCTCTCTCCCTCTCCTTTCCTCTCTCTCTAAAATCAATAAAAATATATTTTAAAAAAGAAAAAAAAGAATCTGTTATGTTTTTCCCTGGCTAGGTAGCTCAGTCTGTTAGAGCATCCTTCTGATATGCTAAGTTTGTGGGTTGATCCTGATTCACGGCACATACAAGAAACAATCAATGAATGCAGAAATAAGTGGAACAACAAGTTGATGTTTTTCTTTTTCTCTCCCTTCCTCTCTTTCTAAAAATCAATCAATTAATTAATTAATTTTTAAAGATAATTTACATGTTTTTGGTTTGGTTTTAAGGAAAAAATAACTTTGAAGTTTTCAAAATGGGTCTTTTCAAAACAGTCTAACAGGTTACCAAATTTGTTTCCCTAGTAGTTTAAGACTACCAGGATTCACTTTCATGGAACTAGGCTCCAGGATGATTGTTAATGGAGATTGTCTTCCCAACACCCATTTGAGAGGTGAAATATTTGCCTGATCTTGAGTATGTTCTCTTTGGGTATGAAATAGTTCTGTCTCCGGTCTGTTACCTTGCAGACAAAAGCTAGACCTCTTGCTAAACCATCAGAATGTGTCTGGGACTCCAAGGACCTTACTTGTTTTATGACCAAATTACCAAATATTTTTATTTTATAGCATTGTGGATTTCTTTTAGTCAAATTCTACCTGTGTTTGAGTAAAAGAATTAACCAACTCAAATATGCCTTGTAAAAGTGTTGAAAACTTTTTAACTTTTAATAAAACTTGTTAATTTTTATTGTTTTAATGTTTCTCCTACAAATAAAATATCTTAATTTTATGTATTAAAATAGACTTTAGATTTCTGAAATGCAGTTATTTTTATATGCCACAATAACTAAAAATGTATTACTCTTTTCTACAGACTGCAGTCCAAAAAATTATTGCAATTGCATGGGATATCTTTCAACCCCTTCTTTTTGGTTTGGTTGGATTGGAAGTATCTGTTGCATCTCTTGAATCAGAGGCCATTGGTAAGAATGGTTACAGGCACACAAAAATATGAGTTGAAAATATTTAAGAAAACTATGAATAATTTTCATTTTTACATACAGTATGTCTTTGAATGCCAAGAGGACCTTCTTCAGAAGCTCATGTTGAGGCAGTAACATACATTTGTTCTTCTTTACCCTGTGTGCTCTTTGTTACCAAAGACAGTCCTCTCTATCTTCCCTGAGTGAACTGAGGAAATGGGGATTAGAATTCTTTTCTGAGGGGAAATATTAGATACCATCAGTACCTTTTGAATACTTTATTTATAGTAAAAGTTCAAAGTCTGTTCCCTCAGAATTAAATAAATGCAATTTATCTTATTTTTCATGGTACCTCCACCATCAGATAATCTCTTACACTTTGCATAAAGGCTTCAATCGTGTTTGTATTTTTTTAGAATTATTTTTTTTTACTTAAAAAATAAAGACAGAAAGAGGCAATGACATTAAAAAGTTTTCAACACTTTTACAAATCATATATCCAAACATAAAGAACCACTTCTTCCAAGTATTTTGTTATTTATGTTTGTTTTTATCTGTTGTAGGCATTTGTATTGCTACCATGAGTTTGGCATTAACGATTCGAATTGTTTTTACATTTTTTTTAATGGCTTTTGCTGGTTTTAATTTTAAGGAGAAAATATTTATTGCTCTATCATGGATGCCCAAAGCTACAGTCCAGGTAAGAACACATTAAGTCATTCTAAACATTTTAATATTGATTTTTTTAAAATTCTAAATGACAAATGTTTGTCCATTCACAAAATGTGGGCCATTAGCCTTACTTTTAAAATGCTTGATTGATCATAACTACTCATTAAAATTAATGTAATCTTTTTAAAAAATCTCAGTTTTAAAATCAATTCTGAAATTGAAAAGTGTAATTTTAATATAAATACTTCCTTAACTTAAGAAAATTTTTTTTTTATTTTTCCAAAACGTAAGAGTATATCTGAAAATTGGATTTTTGCACTTGCTGAATATTGTGGAGCTAAATGTTATGATTTTAAAGTAGAGACACATTGATTCTTTTAAAAGTATCTCTCTTCTACCGCTTCCACCCACTACACCACACACAAATGCACATATATTATTATTAGTTACACATTTGTTTTGTATGACTATTTGATTACTAACAATCTTCCCACTAGATCACACAGAAAGGATAGAAACCACATCTGGGCTTTTCCCCCATTGTTTTCCCCCAGCACTTAGCACAGTGCCTGGGCAGCAGGAAGTACACAATAAATCACCACTGCAGGCCTACACGGACGAATTAATGATGTAGCTTTCTCCCTAATTCACTGATATTCCCTCCTGCTGAAAGGTATTGCTGCTTATTGTTAGACTTTTTCACGAGCAGCATAATGTCTTGATTCCAAGATTCTTTTCTCCATTGTTATTCCAAATCAAAAGCTGTGAGACTCCATGCAGCAAAATTCCCTGTGTCACTGTTGGTTCGAGAGCAGGTCTGTGGCGCCGCACTGCCTGCTTTGAACACCTTGTTACTTGCCTGTAATCTTCGGCAAGTTGGGTTGTAATCTCTCAGTGCCCATTTTGTAGATTCCAAACTCCCTGTCAGTTTTACTGGCTCACACTGCCTCCCAAGTAGGAAGAACAAGGAGAAGACCAACAAAATCCTAGTGAACCAGAAGAAACCTTAGCATTCTGCACTGTCCTGTTGCAGCCAAGAGCCAGGTGGTACCTGGTCACAGCAAATCAGCAAAACTTTGGTTTGGTTAAAACTTGAGGTTGTGCCCTGGCCGGTTTAACGCCGTGGTTAGAGGGGCAGCCCCGCACTGCAGGGTCGAGGGTCCCAGGCGCATGCAGGAGGCAACCAATCCATACATGGATGCTTCTCTCTCAATCTCTCTCTCTCCCCCTCCCTTCTACTCTCTTTAGAAAACCAATGGAAAAAATACCCTCGGGTGAGGATTAACAAAGAAAAAACAAAAAAACTTGAGGTTCTGAGAGTAATGCGAGCACTCAAAAATATATATATTTAAACAGGAGAAAGCAGAGATGACAAAAATATGAAATCAGCCCTAAAATGTGTGCACAGAGATTTGTCACTATTTCACGCCTCCTCCAGACATACTTGCTAGGAAGAATATAGCATTAATGAGTAACTTATGAAAATCCCTCCACCCTTTAAGCCTTGCTTCTTTCCTAATAGTCTAGTACAGCGGTTTTCAAAGTTTTTCATCTCATGGCACACACAAACTAATTACTAAAATTCTGTGGCACACCAAAAAATGTACTATGTTTTTTGCTGATGTGACCAAAAAAATAATAATAAGGTGTTATTTTGATTCATTCACACCAGACAGCTATTGTTGTACTGGCTGTTGTCATTTTTTTATTTGACAATCTAAGGGAAAAGAGGTCAGTGCCCCTGACTAAATAGTCAGGCATTGCATGTTTTAGACATTTTTGCAGCATACACCGGTTGAAAATTGCTGGTCTAAGTACTAGGTTTAACAGTCATTTGTTAAAATGACTATTTTAACAGTCATTTGTTTTTATTATATATTAACTTTGTTTAACATTTTTCATTATGCCTCATCTTCC